CTTAATTTAGATCAAAAATGGCAAAAACAGATAACGACTATTATCCGATTTTTCCATTTTTCATTTGAGCACAAAATCGAAAATCGAAAAAACGAGTCGTTATCCGTTTTTCATTTTGGTTTTGTAAACAAATACTGAGAAAAGGAGTCATTTTTTCGTTTTTTCATTTTTGGTTTTATTTTGAAAAACGAATGAACGAATGATACATGGATTTTTCTGGACCATATTCACCACAAGCTGTAGGGTGTGAACCACGCATGGGGTCCTCTCTATGGCTCTGTAGTCGTATCTACATGGAAATTTAAAAAAAAAACAAATGTACATATGTAACCATTTTAACCCTTACATTATTGAACCAAATGAAATAGTTATTTAAATTTAAAATGTTTAACCTTTTAACTTCCTATGTTGTTGTCGTCGTCGTCGTCGTCGTCCTCCACTTATCCGGGTCCGGGTCACGGGGGCAGCAGCCTCAGCAAAGAAGCCCAGACAGCCCTCTCCCCAGCCACTTTCGTCAGCTCTTCCAAGGGAACCCCGAGGCTTTCCCAGGCCAGCTAGGCGATGTAATCCCTCCAGCATGTCCTGGGGCGGCCCCGAGGTCTCGTCCGGGAGGCATCCTTACCAGATGCCTGAACCACCTCAACTGGCTCCTCACGATGTGGAGGAGCAGCAGCTCTACTCCGAGTCCCTCCTGGATGTCCAAGCTCCTCACCCTATCTCTAAGGCTGAGCCCAGCCACCCTGCGGAGGAAACTCATTTTGGCCGCTTGTACTCGTGATCTCGTTCTTTCAGTCACTACACAGACCTCATGACCACAGGTGAGGGTTGGAAAGTAGATCGACCGGTAAATCGAGAGCTTCGCTTTCTGGCTAAGCTCCCTTTTCACCACAACGGACCGGTTAAGCGCCCGCATCACTGTTGACGCTGCCCCAATCTGCCTGTCAATCTCCCGCTCCATCCTACCCCCACTCGTGAACAAGATCCGGAGATACTTAAACTCCTCCACCTGAGGAACTTCCTATGAACTTTATTTTTTATGTATATGAAATTAAATCATGACCAGTTTCATAAATGCTGAATGAATTAATAGCATCATTTTCAACCTTTTAACTTTCCATGGAATTATTATTTTTTTATTCAGAAAAAAAATTAAATTATGACCAGTTACATAAATGTTAAATGAATTAATAGCATAGTGTCATACACAGACTGACCTGTCATCCTCCCCTTCCTGATGCTTATCGTCATCATTGGTGTCATCGTGCTCTGCCTCTGAGTCCTCTTCAGAAGTTGTGGCAACTTCTGCATGTGTGTGGAACGAAGCCACCATATTGCTGCCATTGTCAGTAATCGTTGCGAGGCCCTTCTCTCTGGGGATCCCCCATTCTTCCATTGACTCCTTCACAAGTGTACTAATCGACTCTGCGGTGTGAGGGTGAACCATCTCCTTCAGGTTCAGGAGTTTGTGTTCAGCCGTATTGTCCTCAGTGTTGAAGTAACAAGCACTGACTCCCAGGAAGGATGCTGTCAGCCCCTTTTTAGTCCAAATATCCAACCCTGTAGTTATTCTCTGTGCTGTGGCCAGCTTTTGTTTGATCTTTTCTTTGTCTTCTTTGTACATTTTGTCAATCAAGTTTAAAATTGTATGTCTTTTTGGCACTTTGAACTTTTTTTGCACCGCCACGGCTCAGCTGTCCAGGTACTACTGGGCAGTCATGACACCAACGAAAGAGGAAATTACTGGACCTGGAGTCGGACTTCTCTGTCGCCAGTAAGCCATTATCTTGCGCTGCAGAGCGCTATGAGCCTCCGCCGTATTCCTGTCTGTGACCCCCGTTCAACCCACAACCGCCAGCATTCACCTTTCCTTTCTGCTGCTGGTTGAAAGGTGATAATAGGGGTGCCCCAGCACCCACTCCACTAACTTGACCTGGAAATAAGCGGTAGTCTAGAAAACTGGCGAGTTTTGTTTTGTTTTTTGTGTTTTTTGCGCCCTCACATAGATTGCGCCCTGTGCGGTCGCCCACATTGCTCATAGCAAAAACCGTCCCTGGGTGTACAGGAAATCTAAAATAACCACTTGTCAACCAGACCCGCTGTCGATACTAACCTCGCGACAACTGCCACCCAGGCTACTGCAGGTGGCAGTTCTTGCGAGGCTAGTGACAGAGTTCAGTTTGGAGAGGCAGAGGAATGAGGGTTAGGGTTAGGGTTAGTTTTTTGGTTTTTTTTTTTTTTTTTAAATTATATCATAATACAGGAGATTTACGGGAAAATACTGGAGGACGGCAGGAAAGAGGGGTAAAATATGGTAGTTTCCCGGCCAAAACGGGAGACTTGACAGCTATGGTCATTTGTCATGTTGTTGATGCCAAATTCAGTTTAGTGTGATGGCTATGTGAATGACAAAACTAGCGACAGTGTTTGGCCACCAAGGGATGCTTTAGTACACTTATACGGAGTCAGTCAGTCAGGTAGGAACTAAGAACCTCTGTTTAGAATCTGTGGATTCACATGACTGTAATTGTTGCTAACATGAGACAGAGGAAGTTTGTTACAATCTGAACGTTTATTGACTAAATTAGCTCCCAGTTAGAGCTAAATATATATTTATGTGTGTTCTTGTGGATACACAAGAATTTAACAGTTCCCACACACTATATTTGGCAGATATTTTGGAGAAACCCACTTTAAATACGTTTAACCACTAGGTGGTGCTATTGTATTATACCAGTAAAGCCCCAGTTATCCGAATACCAACCGAACGTGCCATTTAATCAACGCGCTGTTTTAATAGAACGGAGCACATTGGCTATTGACCTGTTACCAAATCCGGTCTCACATCATTTCTTGTCATATTCACAGTTGTTACCGGCCAGCCCTTTGCTTTAAGACGGTGGCCATGTGGGTGTGACGTAGTGGATGTTGTGGGAAGTAAAGCGGCGTATAGATTGTACGGGCGGGAATGCACCGTGAAAATAGTACCGTTCATGCTACGGGTTGTTGCAGTCTGTTTACAGTGTTTAGATAGGCTCCAGTTACAGCATAGTCTCTGTGAGAAGGCCCTGCGTTATGGTATGTTGTGTTTTGCTGCTGTAGAGGAGAAATAAATGTGCTTCTGCACGGACGTCAGTTCTGCATCCTCATTCTTCAAGCAGAGTTGGTCCAGACTCCTAGAGCTAATTACCAGCAACGAGCCAAGTTGTAAAAACTACAGAAAACCAGTGTCTCCCAACTACGGTTCGGAGGTCACACAGTCTATCACAGTTAGTCAACAATTAGTAGCCTACCTTCCCTCTAAAAAAAAAACTTTTTCGTGTACTAATTTTTCATAACCGTTTATGATCTCAAACACATGAACCCCTACTTTACACTCTCTCTCACAAACACACACACACACACCCACCCACACACACACACACACGTGACACACGAGTCGTTTTCAGCTCCAGTGGCTAACATCTAATGTTAAAGCTAACAGTAAAATGTGACACATTAACCACAGCCTCATGAGTTGGCATGAGCTCTCTAACGTTAAGTAACGTTATGTTAATGTCTTAACTTACCTCAATTTCATTGTGGAATGCCTTGAGATGTCTCTTAAGATTCTTGGTGTTTTTTCTTGTGATTTTGTGGCTGCATTTCTCCCCATCTTTTTCCACAACACATTCCGTTTTCTTTTCCACTTCAATGTAATGAAAGTGTGTCCAAAGGTCATGTCATCTTTTTCTCCCAAAGACGATCCCCGGCAGCCCGGCCATCGGTCCCTTTCTTTGTCAGACTTAATTATGTTTCTGATGTTAGCCCACCGCAGCTGCATTTTCCAAATAATGCCGCGAGTGTGGATTGAGGAAGTGACGTTGCTTGCGTCTGCGCAGTGTGACGCACAGCCGAGGAAACAAAAATACTGCAAAATGATAATAATAAACATCATAACATTATTTCGTCTCGTCTCGTTTTGGTCAACGAAAATGAAGAGTTTTTATTTTGTAAACCACATTTAGTCTTGTTTTTATTCGTCAACAATATTGCATTATATATTTAATTATAGTTATCGTCACATAACCACCATTTACGTTGTGTCTCGTCTTGTTTTCGTCACATGATAAAGGTTCGTTGACGACGATATTTAGTTATACTTTTCGTTGACGAAAGCAACACTACTCTTGATAACCTCCCCTTCTTACCAAATATGTTCAATTGCGGAACCTACAAGTAAGCATGACAAAGAGATTTCATGACAATCAAAAATGTGAGAAAATCATTTTGTTTACTAGCTAGACAACACTAATATCTTCTACTCAACTCTAATATCTTAAAGTCTTTATCACATTATGTTTACAACCCCACATAATTGACAGCACATGATCTTCATGATCAGTAGGCATCCCTATTGTAACATTAGGGGAGAGGGATATTTTTGCTTTGTCCTAATTGCCCTGCCTACCACCTAAAGCACTGTCGGTTACATTAAGAAAGCGCATTCACGCCACATGATATCATAGTGATGATTCCTACTGTACCATTGCAGCTGCAGCCCCCTTTTCACTTCTCTCTGGAGCTGCAGCCCCCTTTTCACTTCTCTCTGGAGCTGCACCCTCCTCCTCTCCTATCTCTGAGCTGCAGCCTTTTCCTCTCCTTTCTCTGGAACTACAGCCTCCTCCTCTTCTCTCTCTGGAGCTTCAGCCTCCTTTTCTCCTCTCACTTGTAAATAGAAATGAAAATGATGTAAAGTCCAAATTTAGCAAGCCAGACAGATCTACATACATGGTATTTTGTAACCATACTATCAGTGACAAACTATCCTTCAGTGTGTTCCAATACACAGAACGTATTCGAACATCTAATCAGCAGTTCCCCATTATGTAAGTATACGTTAAATAATAAAAGTACATTTCATTGTACAAAAAGTAAGTATTGATACCTTCTTCTCTCTTCCTCTTTCTCCTCTCTCCCTGCCTGCTTTCCTCTCCAGTAGGCATGCGCCGGTTACCGGTGTCATGCTTTACCACGGTAAAAGAATGTCATGGTGTCACCATTCTCGAAACCCATCAGCTGTATTCGGCGTCTGACTTCCGGCAGACGGCGATACAGCCTCTAGGGGCAGACCCCCGATTTTCTGGCATTCCGGTTTGATTTTGGTGGAGGAGGCGATTTCCGTTTCCAACTTCCGTTTATATATAAGTAAATATGTTGAACCATTGCGATGGATTCAGAGTTTGCAGTGATGCCAATTATGTTCCGCCTCATTAGTTCACCGCACAGATCGTTTAACCTGGCAACAACTGCAGCCGGCTCAAACATGATTGGTCAATATCACACGGACTACAAACAGCCTACAACCGGAAACCAGGGCTCTTCCGCTCTTCTTCCGGAGGCAAGATCTCCGGGGTTTGCCTACATTCACTGAATGTAGAGTCTGTATATAGAGACTATGGTGTCACTAACCGCCCAATTTCTGCTCTGACGGTAAAGGCCGACGGCGTAAATGGGAACTTCAGGAACTCAAAACTCAGAAATAATTCTGTGCCAGTCGTACATTTCAACTGCCACATCCTCTTAAATCATGCACGTGCAGCTGCTGCAGTCAGCATAATTATTGGGTGGGGCAGCCTCAGTCAGTCAGTACTAGTCAGTAATGTATAAATCTACTCATGTGCAAATGCAAACATGGCTGAAGGAGGCGAAGCTGAACTTTTCCCACCGGTGAAAAGGACGAAGTCGGTGGTGTGGGACCATTTTGGCTATCAGAAGAACCCACTTTGTCCCAACTTTAGAGAGCAAAAGAAAACTGAGTGGCCGCGGAGAGACCGGAGGAAAAGTCAGAGCCAAGGCAAAGACCTGCTCCTCCCGTGCTGGGCTCCAGTTCCCAGTCGGCTGTGTTCATAGGCTGCTGCGCAAAGGAAACTATGCGGAGCGTGTCGGTGCTGGCGGCTGTGCTGGAGTATCTGAATGGTGAGATCCTGGAGCTGGCTGGAAACACTGCCCGCGGCAACAAGAAGACCAGTATCATCCCCCGTCACCTGCAGCTGGCCTTCTGCAACGACGAGGAGCTCAACAAGCTGCTGGGCGGAGTCACCATTGTGAAGTTAAGAAACAGCCCTATTAAACTTTTAACGGGTCTGTATTAGCCTACACATTTAAACAACTGGTGTGATGATGCGTTGCACTGACAGGAGATGCCTGGTATGTGCTGTTGCTCATGAATGGTCAAACGAATATTAGCCTACAGTTTTAACTGAACTGAGGAATGTAGGAAGAAGCAGGATGTCCATTCACCACTGCACATAAATGGGGAGAGGGTAGAGAGGGTGACCAGCTTTAAATTCCTTGGCACACACATTTCAGAGAACCTCTCTAAGAAGACAAACACCACGGCACTAGTCAAGATGGCACAAAGGCCTCTATACTTCCTGAGGACGCTCAGGATGTAAACCTGCATCAACAGCTTCTGGTGTCGTTCCACCGCTGCTCCATTGAGAGTGTCCTCACATATGGCATCCTTGTGTGGTATGGTAGGTGCTCTTTAGCAGATAAGAAGTCTGCAGAGAATCATAAAAACTGCACAGAACATCACACAACAACAGCTACCTGTCCTGGATGACGTCTTCACATAACATTCTAAAAGACTGATTCCACCCTGCTCATCACCTGTTTCAACTGTTGCCCTCCAAAAAATGCTATACTGTAGGTTGTGACGGTTTGACTTGATTTCCTTTCTTTTGAAATCTGTTTCGGGGTGCCAGCCAGGTTTCTCTACTGGCATTTAAGATTAGTCAGTCAGTTTGTTTGTTTGTTTGAAAACGTCACACAAGGATGAACACCCTTACATTGAATGAATGTGAAAACCACAACACAAATAATTTTCAAACCTAATATTAATGTATATTTCAAACACCGGCAAAAAATAAACAATTCTCAAAGTTCACCACACAAAGAACAAGCCAACACAAAATTCCACTTTGGGTTTTTCCTTTTACTCAGTCTCTTTCAAATGTTCAAAGAATCAAAATAAAAAAAATCAAATTCAGTTCATCAACGAAGTTACTTTCAGTACAGTTCAAAAAATATCATCAACCTTTAACAAAAAAAAACTCCTTGAGCAAAAAAATAGTCAGGTTACCCCCCACCCCCCACTTACTGACACCGTCAGTCCAGTCCGGTTTGGGGATACTCCAGTCCGGGTTTTGTGGCAAGGATGACGTGGTTGCAGGATTGTGTGTACGGGATCAGCTGTTTGGGAGATGTGTACGGGGAAATCCGGAGATCACTGCGGCAGTAATGATGAGGATGATAAAGATGATGGCCCCGGCGGGTGAAGAACGAGGGTTTAAACGACCTCACTTTTAATATTACTCGCACTATGAACTGTTTGCTCCGGCCGATTGTCACACCACACTTTCTCTGCCCGTCTCCTTCTCCTGCTCCTCTCTCTTGCTGAATGAATGGCGAGTGAAAATCAGCTGTTCCAACAGGGAATGAATGGGAGTGCTTGAATGGAAGCAGGAACCGGGAACAAATCCCTGTGCAGCTGGGTGTGTTCGGGGCGTGAACAGGTGACAAGGCAGATCAGTAAAAAAAAAACAGCTGTCACAAGGTCCATCAAAACACACACCACAAGATTCATAAACAGTCTCTACCCCAAAGCCATCACCATACTGAACTCCGAACTGGAGTGAATTGACCAAAACACATTGCAGTTCTATTTCTTAAGTACAATAACTCTTTTTATGTGCAATAATATGTATGAGCACTTTTTTTTTAACCCATTGTAACTGCAAACGTGGCAATGAGTGCATTAAATGTATATACGAATGTGTAGAATGTGAGTGAAATGGGAGCATTTATTTATTTATTTTTATTATTATTTATCACTTATTTATATATATGAGCTTGGACCTTGAGTGCACCTGAATTTTGCTGTATGTTTTTACAATGACAGTAAAGAATCTGGCAAGCGTTAGCAGCTAATGTTAGCAGTCAACTCCACTGCCTGGTCCTCATTGCCTCTTTGGTCTCCACACCTACCTACAACTACAGCACTCAGCCCTCCTCACCTACCATGCTTATGCTCATCCTGCTATGCCTGGCACTCTGGTCAACTAGCCCAGGGCTACAAGCTAACAACTCCTGGCTCTACGTCTCATCATCCCTAGCTGGCATGACACTGATACACAAATACAATAACTCCAGTCCTTTATGCATCTCTGCCATCAAAACTCCTGGATAGCTGCGATGGATGCGTCCACAGAAGCCCCTGTCGCAACTTTGTTCACTCCCTGACTGGTCACTCCATCCCATCAGCTGAGCGCTCTGTTCCAACACTGGTTTCAAACCATCTTCCTCAAACTTAACAGTGACAAATCAGAAGTCTTTATCATCGGTCACAAATCTCTTATCAAATCAACCCATAACTTCTCCCTCTCCATTGATGGTTCCCCTGTGCTCACCTCTCCGTAACCTTGGTCTCATCTTTGATCGAACCCTGTCCTTTGACTAACATATCAAACACATCACCAAAACAGCCTTCCTCCATCTCTGAAACACCGCCGCCTATGTCTGTCCCTCTCCTTTTCAGGTGCAGAGATTCTCATTCACACATTCATCACTTCCAGACTTGATTGCTGCAATAGTCTCCTCTACAGTTCATCATCCAAATCACTCAAGAAACTACAGAATATCCAGAACTCTGCTCCCTATCCCCCAGCATATCTACCTCAAACTCCTCATCTTCTCCTATAAAGCCCTCCACAACCTGGCTCCCCCCTACCTGTCTGAGCTCCTGTCTTGATTGTGAAGATTATGAGTTTTTATTCAACAACTTTGTAGTTGCTTCATAGATCCCTGAGGGCAAATTGTGATTGATTATGGTCACACCAGTGTAAAGAATAGAGAATTATAAGAAGTAAGACGAAGAGTATGACATGGAAGTATGTAAATATAAAGTAATATAATGAAAAAATAAATAATAAAAGTGATAAAATACAAATGAAATAAAAGTAGGCATGATGCTACAATGCTTAACACTACTACTTATGATATTAAAAACAAAATATTCACTGTGCTGAGTCTGTAAGTGTATAATAATATCAAAATATGTACTTGCTACATCAGACTGTATAAACTAGTATGTTACATTCATAAACATAAAATATGTATTATGTTATGGATATTACTATTAATACATCAATACAATAAAAACATGAATTAGAATAAACTGTTATGATTTGGTTTTGTGTTTGGACCCCAAAATGCAGAGACGGAAGCGGAAAAACAGTTCAAAGTGTTTATTGAAAAACACCAAGTTCAAAAAGGAGGAATATTTCAGTGCCTCAGTACAGCTGAATAATTGCACCAATTATTGCACAGTTAATGAAGTCATGCCTAAATGTGTGCTTTGCACACCATATGCATCTCTCTCAAGACGATACATGCTGTTTGGAGAAACTCTAACTCTAACTGCAATAGTATCTATTTCTGGCAGGTCCTCTTTTGTCCTCCCACCCCCTTCTTTAATTTTGTAAATCGTTAACAATCAATAACAGTTGAAAAAATTAAAATACCTTAAATAATAAATAATAAATGATTGAAGGCCATGCACATGGTCTCAACAGGGCACTGGAAGGCTCACTTTTATTGTTGAAAGAAAGAGTTAAAGCTCATGGCCCCATGTCTAAAATCTCTGTAGGGCTGGTGCTATGTCAGAAATGATGGCCAAAATATGTAAATAGAAAATGCTTTTACAAGGCAGAGATAAAGATGACTATTGTGAGGTCCCACTCTTCTAATTAACTAACCATAACTCACTGAAATTCATTTTGAGAAAAAACTATTTGTGTAACTAAGTAATTTACCCAGTCACAAATAGTTTCAAGAAAGAGCAAAACAGTAAAGTGCACATAAAAACCTGACTATGTTCTCCACAAACCTTCTCAAAGTGTAGCTTGTTTGATGTGTTATTCTTGTTTGAGACACCATTATTATGTTACTGTTGAGGTAGTTGTTCACTGTATTAGCCAATCAGCCGTTTTTCTTTACCCTCAAATAACTACCAAGCAACAAACAGTCCAAACCAGATTTTCACACAACACACCCTGTGAAGGCAAACTGCCTTCAACAGCTACCACATTTCTCACAGTCCTTTACCAGGAGTCAGCTATGGATTATCAGAAGCAGGTAAGAACCAATAACACAATGACCAGCTCTTAATTATCTCCGGAACATTATAATGGAACAATGATTACTGGAATAAAAAAAAAAAGATTATGATCAGCCATCTTGCAATGTTATAACATTTAAACATATATTTATAATTAATCAGACTTTGTAATTCTGTAATGCAATGTTAAGTTAGCCAATACAATGTAATAGAAGAGTGCTAACATACCAATTTGACTTCAGCCAATTGAACTGGGAAATTATTTTCCAAAATAATATATGAGGAACCCATCCTGCATTATTATATTATATTACAGTGCAGTTGTTAAGCAGATACTTTTGTCTAACTTAAAAAACATGCAATCAGTCTTCATAAGAACAAGAGCTGTCATCAAAATTATTAGTTCATGACTCACAAACAAGGGTGATCAGTTTTATTAATAGTGACAAAAAGCAGTTTTTATCATTACCAATGAAACTTGTGACTGCAGCTCTCCCTGAACTGAATGTTATGTGGCTAAACCGGCTTTCAGGCTAGACAGGGAGTGGAGCAAGGTGGAGACATGTTAGAAACTGCTTTTATTATTTACTGTTATGTGTTTGGTAATGAACACAGGTTGAAGAAATTGCATCCACTGCCAAATTTGGAGACTTGATAGAATTTTCCTATCCCATCGGATATTCACACTGGGGAGTGTATGATGAAGACGGATGTGTAATCCATTTTGCTGTTGCAGGTGAGCACAACATCCAGTACATACATAGATTATATAACAGAGATTTAGAGGTTTAGAGGTTTTCTTAAGTTCAAAACATTATCACCATCTTAAAACTAGATTTGGATTCAGGGCACCTCTACAGGTACCTCGGGATGAGCTTATGATACTGGACAAAAGTCTCTGAGGAATATGTGTCAGTTGTGAAGGAGTCCTCTCAGAGTTATGCAGAACAATTCATTGTTCTGCACAAAAGAAAAAATGTCAGTTGCTATCTCTGGTTGGATGATTACATGTTTTGAAATGTAGTGGTGGGGTAGGGCTAACCTTTGATTTATATGGTACAATCCTCCTTTAAGAAACGGCTGTGATAATGGGTATATACCATTTAATGATACTGGAATATAAATGTTAATCCATCACACAAATCTTTTCAAATTGTGAATGCTATTGAGTTTTTATAAATGTATTTTAGGGATTTTCCTGATTAACTACTTTGCAGAGCATGATGCTGGAGGAGTATTAAAGGGGAACTAACATTTTTTTCAACCTGGGCCCTATTTTCCGATCTACTTTTGTCTTAATGAGTGATAGGATGTTCAATATTTGACATTTCTTCAGTACGACCTGCCTGCAGCCTGTGAGTGCGCGCTATATTAAATAATAGGGCACACAGACAGCGTCAAACAACGTCAAAATACATCCACTAAAAGTGCATTTTTTCACACAGATAGGCTCAGATTGTTAGTATAATTATCCGACAACATAACGGAAAGGAGAAATGAACGTCTATGTTTACCTTTAGCTGGATTCGGACATGTTCCTCTGCCTGTTGAAATTTTAGTATACGTGCTTCCTGCAACAACTCAAGTCTCGCGAGACCAACTGCCATAAAACACCATAGACTGTATAATAAAACGCCAAAGAAGAAGAAGAAGAATCTTGCGAGACGTGAGATTTCAGAGCCAGACTTTCACTCTCTGATCTAGTGTTTTGACTTGCCACAACAAACATGTCTGAATTTTTACCCGATTTTGACCAACTGGATCTGGATGAGCCACTTGAATTTGATGACTGCCCGTATTTATTTGAACACAGAGTACACGGACGCAAAGCTCATTGAAATTGCAGAGCGAACGAGGAGAGAGAGGGGAGCAGGGAGAGGAAGTGTTTTGACTTGCCACAACAGCTAAAGGTAATGATGGACGTTCATTTCTCCTTTCCATTATGTTGTCGGATACTAACAATCCAAGCCTATCTGTGTGAAAAAGATGCACTTTTAGTGGACGTATTTTGACGTTGTTTGACACTGTCTGAGTGACCTATTATTTAATATAGCGTGCGCTCACGGGTTGCAGGCAGGTCAGCCTGAGCTTCGTACTGGAGAAATGTCACATATTGAACATCCTATCACTCATCTAGACAAAAGTAATTCGGAAAATAGGGCCTAGGTTGAAAAAAATGTTAGTTCCCCTTTAACACCAGCCAAAGGCATTTTTCACAACTGGGCAACTCAAAAGGCCTTTTTTATGGAGGGTCTATAACTAATCCATGAAGTATTAGTAAATGATTTATTAGGTGATAAGCAATATTGCAATATTCTGTATTTATACTTTTAAAAAGAAAATCCCCCTCTCACCCTCTTAGGGTGGTATCTGTATCATCTTCAAGCTCGGGTCCTCTACCAAAGGCCTGGGAGTTTGAGTGTTCTGCGCAGTATCTTAGCTGTTCCTAGGACTGCACACTTCTGGACTGAGACTTCAGATGTTGTTCCTGGAATCTGCCGAAGCCACTCTCCCACTTTGGGGGTCACTGCCCCGAGTGCTCCTACTACCACGGGGACCACGTCAACTTTGACCTTCCAAATTGGTTCCAGCTGTTCTTTCAACCCTTAATAGTTCTCCACCTTTTTGTGTGTCTTCTTTCTGATGTTCCTGTCAGCTGGTGTCGCCACATCTACCACTGCTGCCCTCTTCTGGTGTTTGTCAACCACCACTATGTCTGGTTGGTTGTCAGTCTGGAACCTGAATTCCCACAGTATCTTAGCCCTGTTATTCTCAACCACCTTTGGTGGTGTGTCCCATCGGGATTTGGGTACTTGGAGTCCATACCGGGTACAGATGTTTCTGTACACTATCCCAGCCACTTGGTTGTGCCTCTCCATGTACACTAATCCTGCTTCCATCTTACACCCTGCCACTATGTGTTGGACTGTCTCAGGGGCATCTTTGCACCGCCTGCACCTTGGGTCTGATCTGCTGTGGTAGACCCTGGCCTCTATGGCCCTTGTGCTTAGGGCATGTTCTTGTGCTGCAATGATTAGTGCCTCTGTGCCCTCTGTGTAGTCAAGTCAAGTCAAGTCAAGTCAAGTCAAGTCAAGTCAAGTCAATCTTTATTTATATAGCACATTTCATACACAAGGCAACACAATGTGCTTTACATAAAATTACAATACAATCACAACACAGTCATAAAAGTTAAAGTGCGGAAGAGAAATATGCGCGCGCACACACACACACACACACTCACACACACACACACACACACACACACACACACACACACAAGGAATTTAACCATAGGCGGTTTTAGAAAGTAAGGTTTTTAACCTGCTTTTAAAGGTGTTCAGTGTGGGGGCCTTTCTCAGGTCTTCAGGCAGGGTGTTCCATCTTCTTGGGGCATAAGGCAGGATCTCCTGCTTTAGAGTTAGTACGTAGGATGGTTAAAAGACCACTGCCTGTGGACCTGAGAGTTCTTGCTGTTTTGTATCCAATCAGCATGTCTTTTATATACTGAGGTGCAAGGCCATTTAGAGCTTTGTATACTATTAATAAAATTTTAAAATAGATTCTGGTTTTGACAGGTAGCCAATGCAGAGATCTAAGAACAGGTGTAATGTGTTCAGACTTTTTAGTTCTGGTGAGAATGCGTGCAGCTGCATTTTGAATTAACTGTAGTCGCGGCACAGCAGATTTTGGGAGGCCGGTGAGTAGACCATTACAATAATCTAGTCTGCTTGTTATAAAAGCATAGATTAATTTCTCGGAGTCTGATTTTGATAGAAAGCCCCTTAGTTTGGAAATGTTTTTTAGATGGTAAAAGACTGATCTTGTAAGATGATTGATGTGGCTCTTAAAATAAAGATCACTGTCTATGATCACACCCAGATTTCTAGCTTCACTTTTGCTCTTCAGAGACAGAGAATTAAGATTAGCTGCAATTCTCTGTCTCTGAGCCTTTGCACCAAAGATTATATGTATATATGTATATATGTATTTCTGTTTTGTCTTTGTTCAGTTGTAAAAAATTCTCTGACATCCATAGATTAATATCTTCAATACACTGAGTTAGGGAATGTATGGGATGTAGGTCATCAGGAGATAGGGATATGTAGAGTTGTGAATCATCTGCATAATATGGTAATTCATGTTGTGTTTCTGTATAACGTGTGAGTGGGAGCATATAGAGGTAGTGGTAGTGGTAGTAGTGGTCCAAGAATTGAACCTTGGGGTACTCCAACATAATACCCACTCTGTCTGAGGCAAAGTCACCAATGGACACAAAGAACTGCCTTTCCTGTAGGTAGGTTCTGAACCAATTTAGAACCGGGGCAGATAGGCGGACCCATTTTTCTAACCTCCCTATTAGAATATTATGATCAACAGTATCGAAAGCTGCGCTGAGATCCAGGAGAACAAGAACAGATAGTTTATTGGAGTCTGTGTTTATCTGCAGATTGTTTACAACTTTAATAAGTACCGTTTCTGTGCTGTGGTGACATTGAAAACCGGATTGATAGATGTCTAGAAGGCTATGTGATGTTCGATACTCATTAAGCTGAGAAAAGACTGTTTTTTTTAGTATTTTGCTAAGGAATGGTAAGTTGGAAATGGGCCTATAGTTAGCAGTAACTGTTGCATCAAGGTTACTCTTCTTCAGAAGCAGTTTAATGACAGCTGTTTTAAGTGCTGCAGGAAAAATGCCAGACTGAAGAGAGTAATTAATAATTTCTAAAACAACAGGTGCTAAGCAGTTTAAAACAGTTTTAAAAAAATGTGGTAGGGATGGGATCCAAGCAGCAGGTGGAGGACCTGAGATGCCCAACTATACTGTCTAGTTTATCTAAATCTAGAATGTCAAAGTGAGATATAGCACAGAAAATATTCCTGGAGAACTGGAGTGTAGGTTCATTTCTGGATCTTGAGGCACTAATGTTCCGCCTGATGGCAATAATTTTGTTATTGAAGAATGTGGCAAATTTTTCACATTTTTCAGTGGACAGTATCTCTGATGGGGTTGAAGATGGTGGATTTACAAGTCGATCAACAGTAGAAAAGAGCACTTTAGTATTATTGATATTTTTATTAATGATTTTAGAAAAGAAGGATTGTCTGGCCTGTTTAATTTTTTTGTTGTAGTCATTTAGTCTGTCCTTGTAGATTTCATAGTGAACCTTAAGTTTTGTTTTTCTCCATTGTCGTTTTGCCTGGCGACACTTTCTCTTAGACTGCAAAACAGACACTCCATTTCTCCAGGGGGCTTTTTGCTTTTCTATGTTTTTAGTTTTAAAGGGTGAAATATTGTCAATGATATTTTGTATTTTGGAGTTGAAGTTGTTCACAGGATCCTCAGTTGGTAATGATGTGAACAAAGACAACTCATTTACAGATTTTTTAAAGGTTTCAATTGTATTATTATCAATAATACGTTTTTTGATTGTTCAAGTGCTCAACTGTTGTATAGGAAAAGCAGACACGTCAAAGAAAATGCAACAGTGATCTGAGATACCAACATCCATGACAGAGGGTACAGTAATATAAGCATGTAGCAATGAGTCGTAGGTTTTCTTGTAGTCAGTCGGTGCACAGGTTTGTCTTCCTGCTCTTGCAGTTTTTGGTGATTGCTCTGTCAACCAGTAGCTGGTGCTTGGCTCCTCTGGTGTTACTGCCAATTCCTTTCTGTGCCTCACTCATGTATTGAACCATATGCTCAGTTATCTTAGCCACTATGATGCCTGACGG